GCCTTCCCACTGCTAGTGTCCCAGCGCCCCCCCAGCCCCCCCCAGCCCCCCACCTCCGCCAGCCCAAGGATACTTTCTTTCCTTTGTCTTGCTACTTCCCTGCTGAAAGGTGATTTTAAATTTGATCTACAAAAGACTGGAAACGTGTTTGTCTTTCAGAGTTTCTTTAACACACACAGATCTCTGGGTCCATCTGTGTTAGCACATCTCTACAGTCCGTTGTTCTTGGTCGATGCTGCCGAGTGGGCTGTGTCATTTATCTATTATTTGCTTGGGGTTTATCCTGGGCAACGGCTGTCTCGTGTTAACTTTATTAATCTGTCTCTTGTTACAGAAGTCTGTCCCAGTTCCAGACTTAGGAATCCTGACAGGGAATAATGTTCCCTTCCCCCGTGGAAGTATTGGTAGACTTTAGGTTTTTGCCATTTTTTTTTCTTACTATCAACACTGCCTCTATGGACATTTACTCACAGGTTATTGTGTGACTGATATTTTGCCATTTTCATTTCTCTTGGATATACATCTAGGGGCAGAACTGCCATGTCATATGGTAGTTTGATATTAAATGTTTGTTGGGATACTGAACTGTTTCTAAAATGAATGCATCTCACACCACACCCACAAGTTCGAATGTTTCAGTTTTTCTTACCCTCACCAACACTTAATATCTGTTTTATCATCTGTCTTTATGCATGTGAAGTGGTACCCTGGTGTGGTTTTGATGTATGTTTTTGAGGACACCATCGGATGCTTATTTCCATTTAATAACTCCTTTTAATAATAACTATCTGTTTAAACCATTTGTGTGTGTGTGTGTGTGTGTGTTTTGAATTGAGTTGTCACGCAGTAAGAACCCTTTTATAGACCCAACTTCCTGTATTGTAGATGCCGGTCCTTAGAGAGATAAATCTCTGCATTATCTATATAAGTGCCTATATTATAGATAGGAGACCTATATTGTAGGTATAAAGCCTATATTTTATGTACAAACTCCTGTATTATAGATATAAGTCCTCTATTATAAACATAAGTCTCTGTCCTACAGATATAAGTCTATATTGTAGATACAAGTTCTTGTATAAGATAGGCATGTCTTTATATTATAGATATGAACCTTCTATATTACAGATACAAATTCCTATATTACAGACATGAGTCCCTATAGCGCATACAAATTTCTTGTTAGAAATATGATTTGTGATCCTCTTCTCTTGTCTGTAGGCTTTTCTAAACAGTAATTAAAGTTTATGACTTTCTTCTGGGTTTGTTCCAATTTGGGAAGACCAGCATGCTCATGACACCCTCCAAAGAGAGTGCACAACGGGAAGAAAAAGCGCAGTGATTATCCGAGAGCAACGTGCTCAATGAACGCTGGCAGATGAATGAACAAAACGAATGTGTGTCCTCCTGGTCTGCGGCACGCCTCTCATGGGTCCCTCTGCTGGTCGTTCAGGGAAGTAATCATTTCAGTGCCCGAGGTCCCCCAGGAGCGGTGAAACATTAGGAAGGCGTGCCTGCTTCCGGGCGTTCTCGCTAAGCTAAGCTGTTTTCTCCACTCCTGCTGTAACCCGTATCCAGTACCCTATGGGAATCTGTGGGGATTTCACAGTAAGAGGCAGTTTCGTGTTCTGCTCTTTACACCTGAGACTCACTGGCTTAGGGAGAAAGAAACAGCTGTATTTTCAACTTGATATGGACTCTGTGGCTGTTTCGGTGGTCCTGGGTGTTTGTGTTATGAATGTTCATTTGGAGTTTATTCAGGGAACTCATACTTACTTCGCTATACTCCTGATCTTACAGCACTTCCCTCAGCACGGTTCCCTGTCTCATTAATTAAGCTCAGCGCTATCGTGGCATAGACTTGAGGCTGAGAGGGAGGCAGTCTGCATATCTATCTTTAGACCACCTGAATTCTCTGCAGAGACCCAAGGGCCAGTCCTAGCCTGGCTGCTGCCTTTTGCACTTTATTTATTCTGGTCTATTTTGCAAGTGAGGTTTGATACAATCCTTCCCGAGTGTTGAATCGTAGAAAAAAAAATCAGTGGTTAGGAAAAAAAAAAAAAAAAAAAAAAAACTGGGGAAAATCAAAAGACTTCTAGTAGAGACGGTAGTGGAAATGCAGAAACCAAGAAGGAACAGGCACGAGGGAGCCATGCTGGGCTCAGAAAGAACAAAGAGCAATGCTCTGCTTTCATTGCAACCGGATATAATCAACATTCTAATGTTACATAGGCAGAGCCGCCTGCCTGCTAGGGTTCCTCAGCTCATTTTCCCTCCTGTGTACTCTACTGAGATGATTGTGGCACACATGTGATATGTATATACGGGTACAGACACTTACGAACTAGTGGGGCATTCCTGGCGTTTTGAGGCTGTGAATGCCTCCAGCGGAGAAAATGGAAAGGGGAAATTTAAAAAATATCACAGGCTGGAGAAATGTCTCGGAAGGTGAGAGCCCTTGCCGAGCAATCATGAGGACTGGAATTGATATTTCCATACTCACCCCGCAAGCCCAGGAAAGAGTAGAGACAGGAGGATGGCTGGGGCTTTGATAACTTCTAGCCTGGCCAAGAAATCGTGATCCCCATGTTCTAGGAGAGCCGCAGAGGAAGACATCTAATGCTGTGACCTCAGTGTCCATATAGGACACATATGCATATATGGTCAGACACACACACACACACACACACACACACACACACACACACACACACTGCTTGCTTGCTAAGTTAGAGGACTGAGGGCTTATCTAAGCATATTCTGATTGCTAGAGCAAAATACACCAAATTAGGTGATTTATAAATAGAAAATTGTGACTCCAAGTCCTAGAGGACGGACGGTTTAAGTTCAAGGTATTAAATACTTCAGTATCTGGCGAGGATCAATTTTCTCACAGCTGTAGCCTTGTAGTTGTATCTTTCCATGGAAAAGGGAGATCAAATTCCTTTGGCCTCTTTTGCAAGAGGACTAATACCATTCCCAAGCGTTCCATCCTCATGACATTGTTATCATCTTTGAAAAGCCCATGGAGGTTAAGCTAGGGAGGGGTGGCACAAATGTTCAGAGAGAATTACCCCGAACACACCGACTTAGCCTAGTTTGCAGAAAACAATTAGCAGACCCCCCAAATCACCTATAATACCACATGGTATTCACACAGTGCTTTCTCTTCACCTATAATAACACGTGGTATTCACACAATGCATTCTCTTCTCCAAAAACGTGAGCACTTTTCGAGATTGCTTACATCATACGAAGAAAGGACGCGTTTCATCAGTTGACTTAAGGATCAGGGGCTAACTCTGCTTTAGATATAGGGAGGAAGGTCAGTGGTGTTCAGGATTGGAAGTGAATTAGACACTCCACCCATGTAAGATCCTTTACACTTCATGTATAAAAACCACATGAAGTGGGGTTACAGTTTTACAGATTAAAGAGTCATCCAAATCACCATCAGAATCAAAGCATGTCTGACACAATTTGAGGTCATTTTTTTTTTTCTTAGCAATTCTATGTTCTTATTCACGGTTCTGGTTAATTGGAAAGCTTTCACCTGGAAGGGTAGGTGGAAGAAGGCTGAGCCCATGCCCAGTTTTTCTGTCTGATACTGGTGGGTTGGGGTATGGCTTCTAAAACAGTCCCCCAAGCATAATAGAATGAATTGATTTCTACAGTCTATACTTTAAAGGACTTAATTATGGATTCTGCAAGTGGGCAGATCTGTGCATCACCCTCTGCCATCCTGTTTCTGTTCGAGTACACCAGTCAGTGGATTTTCTTATTCCCTCCCCATCCCTGCCTCTTCATTCTGCAAAGTTGCCTTTCAGAAAATGGCGTTCTCCCCCTGTATGAAGACCAACCGTGTGGGATGCAGGGAAATCTCTTCCCAGTGTGAGCGTCTAGTAAAGGACTGAGTGGTGGGATGGTAGACTCCGGCCAAGGACAGGACACCCTTGATCACTGCAGACATGAGGTCTGGCTCAGTGTTGCTTGGTGGCATATATGGATGGAGACACTGAACCAAGTCACACAGCAAACCTCGAGTTGCTAGTTTAGGTCTATGAATGGCACCTATTTCTCAGTTTTCTGCTTTTATCTGTGTTTAAATTTTTAACATTGTTTATTCATTTATTTTATACTCCGACTGCAGTTTTCCTTCCCTTCTCTCCTCCCTTTCCCTCCCCTGCACCTTCCCTGCTCCATTCATTCCTCCTGCTTTTTTTATTCAGAAAAGGGCAAGCCTTCCATGGATATCAATAAAATATGACATATCAAATTACAGTAAAATTAAGCACCTCCCAAAGCAAATTTTCAGAATTAGTTTGACACATTTAAAACTTTGATTTTTTTTACATATTAAAAAGCATTTTTAAGACTTTCTTTTGAAAATTATAGCTACAATGTTCTTACCCATGTATTTTTCTACTTATTTATTTATTTACTTGTGGTGATTAAAATCCAACCCAGAGCTTCCCCTTCTGAGCCATAGCTCCAGCTTCAATCTATGTCTATGGGAGAATTTCACACACATACACGCATCAGGCTCCTGGTGGAGTCTTGCCTGGCTCATCATTGTGTAGACTAGTCCTTGTGCTGTCCTAGTTTCTGAAACCCAGAGTCTTCACACTAACCACACCAAGGTTCCGAAACCCAG